TTTATTTATTATTATTTAGTGTTCTGTCTGATGACAGGTCCATATGAACAGGATCCTTCGATTCTTTTCTCGGACTGGGACCTGTTCATATATGTTCTTGGCAGATGATCCAGAAGTGGTTTGCCGTTGCCTTCTTCTGTGTGTGAATGGAGTAATTGTTGGGATGCCACGGAGAAACCGGGGAAGCCCCCGGAGGAAAACTCCGTGTTGCCTAGACCACGGCCTTGCCCAACACAAGTTATAAATTCGGGCACCCGAGACCCCAGGATTACAAGGCCAGCGTTCTAACCGGTAGACCACCATCATGTACCATAACATTAATTCTCGATTACCTGCCACGGCGTAATATAACAAAGGATAGGACTATGTACTTGGGTATATACGAAATCAGACTGCTTCGCCCTGGGCCACTCCAGAAGACACAGGGTTCCGATTAGGTTGCGTCTTCCAGCAAAAGGCGAAATACAAAAACGCAGTTTACCGTAACACGTGTGAAAACAAGACAGGCACAACGCACTTGTAAGACATGTCGGTTGTAGGTACACTTAGGCCTGTTCAATGTTATAATTAACGTCCTCTTCCTTTAAAATTATTACAACATATCTTCTTTTTGCACCGAACATTACGATTGTGTAACAATTGTAGCCAATATAATAAGTATCTAAATACATCGTCATTAGTTATTTACAAATACCATCACCGAAAAGACGAGAGTAATAACATGAATATAAAATATAGCTAATTCAATAATATTAACTGTAAACAATCACCATTTAATCAAAATCTTATAACAAGCATAACTATTTAAAAATAAAATTCGGTTACCAACCTTATGCAACCTAGAATAAAGCGTCAAATGGTTACATATTCTACCGTTAATATTGGCAACATAGCAGTGGGGACTCTTTTAGCAAACTGGCCAAATATTAAAAATTGGCCCGTGGGTGTGTTTATTACCCACGGCTTATATCGCACAGTCTGAAACCACTACCTTCAAATCACACAATCGAATGCAGAACAAGGCGCTGTTTAATGCAAATTATAAAAACTTCTGCAATTTGATACGAAAATAAACATAACAAAACATGTATATTAAATTATACGCATGCAGTAAGGAATTATAATAGTGCAGGGTATTTATTAAAAGTTTATAGCGACTCAGATGGTCATAAATTATTTTCTATGAGAGAATCTACGGTTCATAAGAAACCAAAACCGAACGACACAGATCGTGTGCACAATTTCATACAATTTTGACGATCAGCTGAAAATGTGTCTTCCGGTCTTAAACTACGTATCCAAAGTTTTGGAGATGAAAAATTGAATACGTCGTCATATTGTATTACATATTTCGTATTATTCTTAGTTTGAACACCGATTACTTCTTTAAACAGCCTACAATACTGATCTTCACAATGGTGAAGTGAGGCGTTTTCTTTGCGGTACGGACTTAATTCAAAAGTATTTGCGAGAACAGTAGCCTTAAAAGATTAAATGACAATGGAATAAAATGCTCTTATCTTTTATCACTGGTTCCTCCGTCTATTAATATCATTATTTAAGGACAGAACGGAATTTAATTTAAACAGAGACTTAGTGACCATTAAACGACAAAATATGCCATCCTTACACACGTCTGTACGAAGCGCATTGAGTTCTCTTACTAAAAAAACATAAAAACAACTGGAGTTTAAACCACTGCACTTTAACCCTGAAGATGGCAACTGCAATGCTAGTCAGAACGCTGACTAACAATCAACATTCGACGAGGTCCACCACTGCTATATAGCACACATATACATCTTAGAATTACACAAACTGACAGACCAGCACCGATGCAAACTACAGTGCAGCCAACATTCCCTCCAGATGCACCACTAGACCACCACCAACTCCCACCACTACTGTACAGACTGGGCTTCATGTTCGATTGGCAACACTGCTCCTTGATGAAATAAAAACCAAAAATCTTCATTCTGTGCGCGACCACGACGACACGACTTGCGGGAGGGGGGTGTCAGAATACTGCTACGGTTGAGGAGGAAAATGAATCTGAAATTTGCGTTATCAAATAATAATTACGAAAAGACAAAAGGGTGGAAATAAAACCGAGCATATTATTAATTAAACTGGTCACTGGGTAACGGTGAATTGTCAGCCTCACGCTCCGACCGCTGTACTACCAGGAAGGAACGTCAGTTACCATTTGGATTGTGGGTGGGTCCAGAGACAATCTCAACATGGTAAAAAAAGGAGATTGCATTTGTTAAAACATTCACACAAGTGGGCTGGTGGCATATATTCCGAAACGTTCAATAAAATTGAAGACTTTAGACCAGAGGTTCCCAAAGTGTGGGGCGCCCCCCCCCTAGGGGGGAGTAGACGTGTTGTTTTTATTAAAAACTTTTTTAACGAAATATGGAGAAACATTATTAACATCCTTTGCTTGGTTGAGGCAGTTTAGTTGTCTTACAGTGCTGTAGAATTCAGACTCGTACAGCATCGGGCGGTTTTAGGAAGTAGACGGCAACATAAGTCTAATTATACTTACGATGAACCTGGAAAACGACCTTAGAGAGGTCATTTCAAAACTGCAACCTCTGTATGATAAGTTATGTTCACAGAAGCAACCACATCCATCCCACTAATCCAGGTATGAAGCGTATATTTTATTATAGCTTTTTAAATTAAATTCATTGAATACTATATATTAAATTATAAAAAAATATATACTCATAGCTAAATTTTATGTCAAATCTGTTCTGGAAGGGGGGTATGAAATTTATGTAATGTTTTAAGAGGGGAGCAAGGTATAAAAGTTTGAGAACCTCTGGTCTAGACCCAACCAACCCTCAACCAAATGAGCACCCAACCCTCAACCAAATGAGCACCCCCCCCCCCCCAGGGATCGGCTAAAGGCTAAAGCTGACAACTCACCAGCATCTAACGCCAAGAATGACGGGAGTCTTACCTTCAATTTCTGTTTGCAATGACAGAGCAAACTTTAGCTGCAGTTTTAAAGATCGGCTTGAAGGGTTTCGCTGCCCTGGATATAATTCTGTCATTGAGTCAATGGCGATAGAAATCCATCGTTTTACGAAGAGGACAAAACAGTTTGATTTAGAATAATGAAAATAGTCAGCAGACCCTCCAATGGAAACAAATAATATAAAATATAATTTATTTTTCTTCAAGAACTTTTCACATATCAGCGACTTTTCATGGCAGAAGACACAAGACTTCATTCAGCCTATGGCTCTAAGCTGTCATCAGGCTCCGTAGCGTATGAACAGAAAAGCAACATATTTTGTGGATAAGTGCCCCAAGTAACAGTGAGTAACATCCTGCACTCTACTACAATGGCTCTCCAACTGTAAGGCCGAACCTTAAACAGACCACGTACAATTTTCTGGGGGGAGGGGGGATTATGTATCCAACAGTGTCACTTCGAGCTTACACTGTAAAAAGATGTTTCCATATTCTGTTGGTTTATTATACGATTACTTATTACATACGAGAAAGCATGAGCTCCTGAGGGTCTCTGTATTAAACATTAAAGTAGTTTATTACAATTATACGTGTAATAAAATACTAAACAGGGAAACAAAATGGGAAAGCCAAAGTATACACCACATTAAAAATTGACTTAAATCGGAGAAGGCTCAGACAATACTAGAATTAAATTATAATAATATAAGAACATGAACTAGGCTGTATGTTGGGGAAAATTCTGATTTAAGGGCTTCGAAATTGAGTGTCTGAGAAAATTATTAAAGAATTAACATATTTTTTCACTGTATTCGTGACTGTAAAAATAAGTTAATGTCTGGTCTTTCACTTATTTTAATGTATGACAGATTGAGTTAAGGTATGCTGCATTTTAAAATTTGGGATTTCAAATTAAATATATCTGATTTTTGATCAAATTTTCAAACCGTAAGTCTATTTCAAGATTCATTCAAAACACTATCATTATTATACCATTCTTGGAAACATTTTTAAGAAATTTTCAGTTGATAGTATTTAGTTAGTAATTTTTTCTTTATTTTTAAGTAGACTGACCTCCTCACGCACATGAAAAGTCAACTGCGTTTCTAAAAAACCACCCTTATCTCTTAATTCATTTCCAGTTCGAACACGTAATACATTTTGGAAGTATATACAGAATATAAGATAAATTAAAGAGTGCAGAGGTATATTTTGTTCAGGATCGTAACGAAATATTTCGCAACATTCTGAGACAATATCAATGAATGAATAAAAGCAATGATATCTTAAACCATACCACAGCAAATTATTTCTGATTAAAAGAACCGTTTAATAAACAGGCTAATAACAACACACACAAAAATAACTGTATGAAGACAAAAATGGACGACAGTAGACGTCTCTGAAGCAACTTATTTCTGCAGAAGTTACGCCGTGCTGCCAGCCGAACACGTCGCATCCAGTCTGTACCACTCAGAGATTAATGATACAGGAGTTCGAGTCTGGACGGCTAACCTGACGCTGCTAGGAGGGGACCCAGTCTCTTCCAATCCCCCGCACTAAGCCCCACCCCCGCGGATGGCGTCGGTGGACTTGCGGCGGTGGCGGAAACACTGCCTCCGCCCGTGGACGTCGGGGGTGCCCCTGGCGAAGTTCGTAGCCCCAACCCCAGACCCCGCCAGTACTCACCCATAGCACTCGCCCCCTTTGGGTCCAGCTGATAAGGAGGAATCCCCATGTGGGCAGGGGGAGGCTGTGTCAGGTGGTCCCCGTTATGGCAGAAGAAGGGCAGTGTGGCGCCGGGGTGAGTGGCGGCCAAACCCATCTTGCTCGCCTGCAAAACCACACAAATCACATGAATCAATGATTTAACATTCTCAAGCAACTTAAAACAATGAAATGTCTTGTGGGATGTTGCACTGTGTAGTCTGGTAGATACTGATACCCTGATAATGGAGGCAGTATGCCCCTCTGAAACGCCTGTCAATATCCACCACACTACAAGTTGCAACACCTCCAGTAAACGGTCGTCTTAATTTGAAATAATAACGCAATTCGAGTTTCGACCTCTGCGTCCAGCAAGCTTCCATTCAGAAGACTAACCCGTCAGTTGTGTTTAGGGGAACAACCGCTGTATGTTCTGAAACCCTGAAGAGTCAATCAGAACGCGTCCAAAAAGTTCGAAACTCAGACGGGGGTATGTGTACCCTGAATCATACCGATTACACCACACTGGCAATACATCCTTCTGCTATCCAATTCATCAGACATAATTATCCTCTCATTTTATTTGACACTAAACATTCACATCAGATTACGGAGCGCCATTAAATGGTTCCCAAATATGATACTGGATGAATAAAACTCTCATGAAAACACAACGACGTGACCAAGACGTGGATACAACCATTAGAAACCATTCTGCATATTAAGCCTGAATGTGGCAACCTCCCAGTTTCAGTGGGCGCAGATATCCCACGACGGTCTGTTCGGGGAGGGGAGGGGTGGGGGATAATGAACCCAAATATGCCGTACAGGCGTGTCCCTCCGGTGGCAACAACCGACACAGATCGATCAGACGTGCCTGTTTCGCGAGGGTGATGATATCTCGGACCACCAGCAGGAGCGCCGGGTCCAGAGGCTCTGTCTCCATCCACAAGAGCGCACGTGCGAGATGGTCTGCCGCCTCCACAGGAGTAGGCAAAGCGGGGACCGCGTCCTCCGAGGTCTCGTCCACTGGCTCCGCCTTTACGCTCTCCAGGGAAACATCCTCAGACCGGGAGTCCTGGGCCCAAGTTGCCAGGTCATCGTCAGTCACTTCGAGACCGAGGTCGTGCGAAAGCCACTGAAGTTCCAGCAGCATCATGCGGTCTTCTTGAGCATGCGCGGCATTTGCTCCTGAGGATGACAGGGCCAGAGTACAGGGCAGTATTTCGGAACACGGACCGGGTTCCTCGTTAGTCAGAGATGCTACTCTGTCCCAGCACCTCAAGAAGGTCTCGGATCTCAGGTTGAGCCACGAACGGTGCAGCATCGGGAAGGCGTCTTTAAGCACGAAATTCCTTAGATAATCAGACACCAACGTGGCGTGTTGATGGTCCGTACTGTTCGCGGTGACGCTCGACAGAAGCATCATAGCGTACCTCGTCCTGAACTCCGATACCACAAGGCCATGATCCAGCACAGCCCCATCACCAAAGTTTCCTTTCGGATACACAACCAATCTCACTGCCCCATCAGCAGCGACGCACTCCGATTCTTGTGGTACAAACGGAGCTTGTTCAATCACGAGGATAGCTCCGCGTGGGTGCAAAGTAGCAGCTGCGGGGGCAAACTCGTGGTGGAACCACCAGGTAAAGAGATCAGGGGTCACAGTGCCACTCCCCCCTCCAGCATAAACAACAGGCTGGCTCAACATGTTGACGTGGCGCAAACACGACGGGCGCCATAGTCGGCCCGTGATCAGCATACGAGTTCGGTGTCTTCCGGTGCGGTTGCCAGCCATCAGCACCCACACCTTGTCGTTGGGCGACGTCTCCTCGAGGGTGCGGTCGGGAAGGGACTTCCAATCTAGCTGGAAGCCGTATGCGCAGTACACCTGATCGGCCGTGTATTCTCCATTCCGAAGTATCTGTCGCAACTGTTCGGATGGACTCGGCACTGCGCCTTCTTGCACCTCGCTTTTTTCTGCAGAGGTCACCGTTATAGTAACGTCCGCCGATTGGGTTGGGAGAGGCGGTGGAGTGGAAGACGCTTTCGGGACTCCATACCGCGTCTGCCAGCGTCGGATCCACGCCCTGGTGACGAGGTCCAGGAGGTCACGTGACGCGCCGAGTCGCCGTGCTATGCTGAGGGCCTTCTTGCGCAGTTCAGCTGTGCTGAGGAGAACGGTGACACGGACCTCGTCACCCCCACCATGGCGCTCCCGCTGTTGCTGTTGCTGGTAGCGCTCGAACCAGCGGAACAGCGCTCTCTCCAGGGCCGTCTCCAGTACCTTCCGTTCCGCAATGACGTCATCAGACACCATCTTCCCCGACGATACGTCGACAACGATGGCGCCATGCTTCTTTCCATTCTGAGTCTTCAACTGTCCTGATGCACGCTTTCCTTTCTTATCTTTGTTTTTAGGCGACATCTACCACCGAAACTACACACTAATGCAAGATTCGGGAGTGACGACAATGCACCACGCACCGCTCTGGTCCGCGACTACCTCACAACTGAGACAGGAGCACCACACAGCTAGCAGCCCGGCAACACGGGGAAATAGAAGTCGGCTAGGATCAAAGCCACAGCCAGTGTGCTAGCGGCCCGCCTGGGTTTTATGCCAGAGAGAGAGCGCCAGAGAGAGACAGCTTTCCCCTCTACATGTGAACCGCTTTGATGTTGCCGGGCGCGCGGAAGACTACAAAGAGCAGAAGAGAAGCCTTCTCTCGTGTGTTCGAACGTACACATGTGCCGCTGAGGAGACCAGCAAAGGGGTAAAAGAGAAAAAGGCAAGAGAGACAGAGCACGCAAACGTAGCGGCTTTCACTTTGATATCAAAGAGAATTCTGAGATGAAAGAGACTGGCACTGCTGAGACAGATAATACTGGTTTGAGTGGGCAAGGGAACTTGCCGGCCGGACGGACGGACGGACGGACGGACAGACAGCAAGAGAGCGTCGCGGCGGTAGGAAAGTGGGACGAATATAATATGAAGGATATTTTGCTCCGGGAAAACTCAAGACACATCGACACGCGCCTTCAATTTCATCTAACATGCTAACTAAATTAACCAACTCCCTGGTAGCAAAACCCGCAGGTCCAACACCGCCACCGGACTTAATCCTGAGCTAACTCCACTTACTATCCTCACAGCCTACCTCCCTATAATCAATCTTGATATTTATCCTTCCCTCTCCTTCTTCGTCTGCCCAGTGGTCGTATACCAGAACGATTCCCCAATGATTCATATACGTAATTATCATGTTCCTAAAAAATTCAGGTTCAACTGCAAACATTATATTTGAAGTTCTACTTCATGGTACTTGTCAGAGAGAATGAATACACCGACCCATTCAGAGGTCAATACATAAATACTTTCAATAAGATACGAATTCCTTCCGCCTTCTCACCATATGGTGACGTACCTCAGGACACACGAAAGACCATTAGCTCCGGAGAGTATACTTTCCTTAAATGCTTACATCTGTATAGCCTACTAAGGCTGGCATTAATTTTAAATGAATAATTATACAAATTCAGTGACCAATTTGCACAAATGCTGTTCTAAATTAAAAGTTTTGATAAGAACGTTTCGCATCTACTTTGCATGCTTCTGGTAAACGAAAATGTTTAATTTTACAACTCACCGACACATTTCTGTACACAACAAGCCACTGCTACAGGCTGAAACTGCCTAATGTTTGCAAGACAGTCACAACGACATCACGACTGTGATAATGAACATTCAAAAATGTATGACACGAAATTGGCAGACTTGATTCTGATTTTTCTCACATTTCGATAAAATATTTTATTTGTAATCGTCATTAAACGGAATGCTAAATACAGAAAGAGCGAGACAGCCAGATAAATGACACGTAAATAAACGCTGCATAATAGACGACAGCAAAACTCAAGGTCCTACTTTTAACAAAGCATTTATAATTATGTTTCGCGAAACAAGGAAATAATTTATCACAACCCCAACTTCACCATTATATCCTAGAAATCCAGTATAGGCTGGAATTCAATGGGACACAACGGCTGGTTAACGCTAAGTTAATTAATCGGATAAAAACTTTAAAACCAAATGTCAATAGCGATACTTGCCTAAAGAACAAAGGCAAAAACATGATTACATGGATGGCAAAATAATATAAACGAAGACGATAATATCCTTCGCAAATGGCTTGTGGAAATGACTGCAAACGACGGTAACAAATCAAAGTTATTTTCGCAATTAAGTTAAGAACTGATCGAAGACATAATTATCGCTACTATTTATTCAAGAATCGTGTGTCTTCCCGTCAGCCTAAGACCTTAATGATTAAAATATAACATAAAAATGGTATATCGGCGTGAAACTTTGAAATGCAAATATTCAGGGTGTCTGAAAACCATATTCTGGGGGGGGGAGAGAGAGAGAGAGAGAGAGAGAGAGAGAGAGAGAGAGCTTGTGACCTACTAAGAGAAGAGGAGACTTGACCTATAATTTGAACTGTTTGCAAGTAGGGCGGAAAAGTGGAACGTCCAGTACGCAGTTTTCCCGTGGAAAATGAGGAATAAACACAGAGCGTCGGAAAACCTGAGGCAAATAAACCACTTGAGAGACGAAAGAATATATATGGTGGGTCTTCAAAAAGAATTTAAGTTTCCCAGAATTTGTAAACACGGTAATAAAACATCCAACTTCTACAAGAAGACAGGACATTTCTTGACCATAAGTGAAGAACGCACTTAGAAATATCTGATATTGCACTGCAGGTCTGTCCAACCTCTTTTTTGTGCGGGCAAATTCTGCAAAATTTGGTCTGTATGCGGGCAACATTAAGTTCCAATACATAAAATGTGAACTGTATACGTAAAATTATATATATATATATATATATATATATATATATATATATACACTTTTATCTGCATAATTTTCTATACATTATATACAATAGTAAGAGATTAGTGAAGAATGCAATTCACAACCTAGTCTAGAGCGTGTTTATTTTTAGCAAAGGTTTACAAAATTAATTATCAGTGTAATGCACGTCTCCACAATTAAAAAGCTCATACCCTTTCTAAAATATTATTGCATAGATTTTAACTTGGGTGCGATCTTTTGCAAAATAAGACAGACTGTAAGACCGGAAATGAAAATATCAGAAAGGAGCCGCTGCTGGTGCCTACACAAATACAAGTCGTTAACTAGAAAACATCCCCTTAACAATGCACGTTAGTAATCATCGACAGTTATTCTAATCCCGGCGAAGATATGATTTATGATAGGGTCACTTGGCATTATGGAAGAGGTGGTAAATTTTCTTTTATAGTTTACCAGGAAACGGGTGGTACTACTTCGGTGTTCTATCGCGCCTATCCCTGGGATAAGGTTAAAAGACATTTTCTTATTTCAAATGTGTCCGCGAGCTACAGGTTGGGCGGGCTTGTCTTAAACCAACAAAGTAAACAGACTGGCAGTTCACCGCATGCAAAGCCTCCATAACACCACAGGTTCGCAGTCAGTTTGGCAGTAAAACCCTTTCCTGATTTTTACCTTAATTTCTAATCATCCAGGTGTCTATTCCCAGGAGGGACAGAAACTGTTCTATTTGCCACTGTGTCAAGACATTCACAGGGACCCACCCACTCATCATTCACCCTTCTAAAGCAATTGAAACGTGAAAGTGATTGATTACCTTCTAGTGCAGAGGTTAATAATGTGTGGAGATTTACCTCCAGATTCACTCAGGGCTTATGGAGCGGTGTTTAAGCTCCTACAACCTCATATAACTCTGAATTTATGCCGGGATATCGAACCCTCGACTCATTCAACCGCCGAGACCCAAACCCGTGAAGTGATACCGAGCTTTCATACCAATTTGTGTTATGATTGGACCACTGGGCCTCCAAAGAGAGGGTCATGTCCCTTTCGAGAGCGGGAGGCTCCCACCCTAGGAGACGCCGCACTAGGCTAGTGGACCAAACCAATCTTTACGTTCCATTCCACAAAACGCACAGAGCAGAACAAAAATATCACACACGATCAATATGCAATTGACAGTCCTAAGAGTTTGGTAAGCAATTGTTAATGTATGCAAAAAAGCACCAAACCTCCCTGACGACACGCGTATCGACTTGCACACAGATAAAGTACGATATTAATCGATACAGACCTGAATCCGGCAAATAAATAACTTCGAAATAAAAGGTCCTATGTATTGTACCTGACATATTCCTTAGGAGTATAATGAAGTGGAATGTAATGTGGGTAAACCCAGGGCCTGGCTGTCGGCACGTACTTATATGCATCCGTATTGCTTTTCTCCTGATATTGTCGTAGTAGTTTGCCTAAAACACGCACTTTTATCTGAGACCGAAGGAATTTAGAAAGTTTTCACTAAAAGCCTATGGACAATTTTTAAATGCCTTCCATAAAATGTTACTGTTGACCGTAGATTCGGGGTCTTTTCCAGGGGTAAAGCGAAGCCGGAGTGTGACGCTTACCACTCACCCCTAAATGGTGTCGAGGTTAAGATTGAGTAAGAGTTGTAAACCCCTCCCAACATGGCGTACCGCGATACTCACATTTTTCATAATATTAAGACCTAAATGACGAGAAAAGTTGACAGTCCAGTAAAGTCTACCGGAATATTATCGAGGCGATGATTGTCATTTTGAGTTATGATTTATCGCTCTTATTCTGCTGTGTTCTGATTATCGAGTTGAGTTGTAGCTTTGGCTGTGTGAGTGAGTTTGAAGATCATATTTTCACCTAATTTAATGTTTTTAGACTATTCACTGGGAGTTACTGCCTTATGCGCTAACCACTGTTCTGGTGTGATGATCGTTGCTTACATGATATCGGTATTATCATGCATTTCTGGTTCAAGCACATTAAGTGTGTGTTTGGTAATGATACACGAATAAGGACAAACAGAAACGAGAATAATGGACTCTAGATAGAGGTTAAAAAAAAATTTAAAAAAAATATTGATAGCGCCACGTGATTAACTTGACAATACAACTGAAGACATGGTTAGAATAAAGAAAACAGGAAGAAAAGGCCATGTGGCTAGAACAAGATACCGGAAATAGCATGAAAATTATAGATACACGAGTCGCAGAGAAGCAGGAAGATCACGAAGACGCCAGACGTGTGTCCCAAGGTCTGCACACCAAGACATAAAGATTAGAATAATTCTGTATTTCGACAAGACACGTACATGTACTAGTGTCAAGAGTAGACATACTCGTCCCGGGTTACCCACCCCGACCGAGCCTGAAAGTCACGTAACCAAGGCAATTCGAGCCAACCGCTTTATCACTTACGCTATGACTCAACTCGGCAATGAACACAGGGCCTATAATTTAAATCTCCTTGCAACACGGCGGTGATAACAGGGCAAGACAATTACGTCATGCATTAAAGACAGCTGACCCATTAGTTGCTGAGCACAAAAGTAGGAAGGAATGTGCTGTTGCTTCTACAAGGCGTC